GGCGCAGCAGGGAGAGGGAGGGTAGGGCCCCGGCGGAGCCGCAGAGACGCGGCACGGAGGGTGCGGGGTGCTGTTCAGGGCCTGGGCCAGGACCTGAGAGGACCAGCTTGCAGCCTGCGTGGCAAAGCCGCCTCTCCTCCAAGTGAGCAGTGCCTACAGAGAGCCAGGGGGGGTCCGTGCTGATGGAGGGCAGCTCCGCGGGTGCTGCTGTCGGTCGGAGCCCGGGCTGGTGGGAGCAGTGATCTAGGCTTCCTGGAGGAACGCGGGGCAGCTCCGCCTGTGATGCGACCCCTTAGGCCATGGCAGCCTGCTGGCCTGATCCCCGCGCTGGAGCTGTAACTCCTTAGTGCTCCTCGTGCAAGCTCCGATGTTTTTCTCTGACCTCACAGAACGCGGGGAGAGTTTGGAAGGTCAAGAGCATCCCAACCTAGGTGATGGCAACCAGCATCTAAACACCTCCTGTTACCCGTCGACATGTATTACAGACGTCCTGCTGAGCTACAAGCACCCGGAGGTGCCCTTTGGGATGGAGCAGGCAGGGGTGTAACCAGGAGGGAGTGAGTATTCCGCCGTCCTTCTCTTTCCAGCTGCGCCCCTCGGGTTGCCTCGACGGCAGACCCAAAGGCCTGCTGGCCTGACTTCCGTGGGTGTCTCCTTCCTTGTCCCCTCGCTCCGAGGGGAGAGGCTGGGGCAGGGGCCCTCGGCTCTGAGCTGCTGCGCTGGTGGCTGTCTGCTGCATCCCTGTCCCCGTTCCTTTGGGGACGGCACCCCTCCTCGCCAGGCCTTTGCTGCTCCTCCAGAGCCCCGTTGGCATCGGCAGGGCCACCCTCCTGGGGCGCAGCTTGCGGGTCTGGACGGGGAACGCGGTGGAGGGCTGGGGAAGCAGAACTGCCGTTGCTCTGGTGCCTCCTGACATCTCTGCTTCTTCTCTCTCTCGCAGGTTTTACGTACAGCTTTGAAACGAAAAGGTCCATTTTAAACCAACAGTATCTAGCAGCATCGCGCCAAATTGCCGTAGTATTTCTGACTAACTGGAATACCATGGCCCCTTTCCTCATAATCAGTTCATCCAGTGTGTTGTTCCTTTGGTTTCTTTAATTTTTGCCATGTTTGCCTGTAACTCCAGCTATCACAGAAATAACCAGAGAGCCGGAGTCCCGCACGTCGGCAGAGGATTCGCCGAGCCTGAGCGCCGAGTCCGGTTTGGAGGGCTCTTACCGACTGGGGCCGGGCGGGGCCCCGGGGGCTGCTTGGCCCCCGCT